GTACAGACAGAAAAATCCATTAGCAGATAGGAAAACTCACCAGAGCTCCCTGTCAGGGCAACCTGCTGAGCAAAGCAGCTTCCAGCAAGTCACCAGGTGGGATGGCCCCAAAAGCAGCTCCTGGGCAGTATTTGGGGAAAACCAGCCTGGCATCACTGTGCTGACAAATGTACTGAATCTGTGTATGGCAATGGGTGATATTTTCATTCCTGGGTGCCAAAAGTCCCTTTATTCACATATTCTTGATTTTCAGCCCTGTGTATCTGCTGGAACTGCTGTTTTGAGCACACACTGCAGCAATGTTTCTGTGGTGCTACAATCAACCAAAGCCTCATTATCTTTACAACACACTCATTAACTCCCTGCCAGGATTCCCTAAAAATCTAGGGAAGCAAGGGTCCAGTTTTCCTGCCTCTGAGGCTTCCCAAGGCCATCAGAGCTGGGCTCACACCAAGCACCCTGAGCCAGGTGAGATGAGCACTTCAGCTTTGGGATAACATCAAACCAGCCTGCACAATGGCACCCCAGCAGCACACTGTATAACCTAGTTAACCCAGACCTAAAGAGTCTTTTAGCATCAAACCAGCCTGCACAATGGCATCACCTCCACAGCACCCCAGCAGCACACTGTATAACCTAGTTAACCCAGACCTAAAGAGTCTTTTAAAGGTGTTTGCAGGAAAGTAAAGCAGCAGGGATCTGCTCACAGGACAAGCACACTGGGAATTGCATGCTGCTCCCATATAGCACTGGCACCTTTCTGCTTCCCTCCTGGCAAGTGGTTGAACAAAGCTCTGGTTAATTTGGCAATTTATTAGGATTTTCTAGAAACTCAGTCATCAGTTCTGAATGGGGAAAAAAAGACTTTGCTGAGCTCCCTGATCTTCCCTTTCTGGGCAGTGCTCTGCAGGTGGAGCTGCACAAATGACTGCAAGGGGAGCAGCAGGGCTGGGCAGCATCAAAAATGGGGCAGGCAGGGCGAGGGAGGGGATTCTGGCCCTCTGCTCCACTCTAGTGAGACCCCCCTGGAGCATCTTCTCCAGCTCCAAGGCCCCCAAGATAAGAAGGAAATGGACCTACTGGAGTCAGGGTGACAAAGTTGATTTGAGCATCTCTGCTATGGGACAGGCTGAGAGAGTCAGGGCTGCTCAGCCTGGAGAGGACAAAGCTGCCAGGAGACCTCACTGCACCTTCCAGGGCCTGATGGGGCTCCAGGAGAGCTGGAGTTCCTACAAGGGCATGGAGGCATAGGGCAAGGAGGAAAGGCTTTCACTGACAGAGGTTTAGACTGGATATTAGGAAGAAATTCTTGACTGTGAGGGTGGTGAGGCACAGGCCCAGAGCAGCTGTGTTGGTCCAATCCCTGGCAATGTCCAAGGCCAGGTTGGATGGGGCTTGGAGCAACCTGGGATAGTGGAAGGTGTCCCTGCCCATGGCAGGGGGGTCAGGACCAGATGATCTTCAAGGTCCCTTCCTACCTAAACCACTCCATTATTCTAACCTCAGAAGAGATCAACTTTTACCTATGTAAGACCCCCTGACTGTGTCCCTTGTAATTCCAATAAGAGAGAAAGCATTAACTTTTGGAGGTGCTGGGTTGAATATTTTATTGAGCTTATTTGTACTGCATCTCTCCCAGTTGTCTTGGTTTATGGTAAAAAGCACAAAGAGACTGACTAAAATCATTCTTCCCTACACTCATGATTAAAATATCTGCAAGAGGTGTACATACTAGGCAGATTTTCAACCAGGGAAAAGGTAGGAGATTAGAAAATTAATATAGATGTAGGCCTAGACAGCAATTTTTTTCCCAGTGTGCCCTGAGAACCAGCCTCCTTGATAAAGTATTTTAATAGCAGGTTTTAGGGGTGAAGTTTTTAAGCAGACAAATTGTAGAAATAATAAAGCCCTAACACACACCACGGCTGACAAATTAGCTACTAAAGCAAGGCTTGGGATGGGAACTGTTTACTGCCACATTACTGAATTCACTGTTCTCCACTGCTGTTTGCAGACCTGGAACAACACACAGGCTCCCATTTAAATGCATGCCTGGAGACACAGTTTCCAAAAGCAGATTTAGAGCAGCATGACTGCCTCCTCTTGGGGACTGTAGAGCTCCTCAGAATCCCACCTGGAGGCTCTGCAGCAGCTCTGGAGCTCGGGTTCATGAGCCCCCTGCAGCCAGGTCTGTCTGTGAATGCCCACACCCAGCCTGGGGGGTGGCAAAGGGGACAAAGGAACAAAAGATGCTCAGTCAGGTAACAGGCCTGAGGATCTGAAATACCAGGAGGCAAAACCACTGCTGCAGAAATGCCACCAACGCTGGGAAAAAGAAAAGAAGCCCAAAGGACAGGCAAGGGCAGTAGTGTTGTTATTCACAGTCTAATCACTATGGGTACAGAAGATAAGTTTTCCATAATTCCAGAGGATTTTAATAACAATTAAATAACCTGTCATTATTGTTAATACCATGCAGGTGAGCTGTACTTTGCCTACAGAAGCAGTGGTGGCCAAGGTCAGTAATAAAAAAGGTTAATATGAGAAGCCAGGGCAAGTGTAAAAACCCACATTTTGAAAGAAAACCCCTGTGGCATTTCATACTCTGGTATGGCTACAGTGTCTAAAAACAATCATATTTACAGAATTATAGTAAATATAACTGTTTGCTTCCAGGTATATTCTTTGAAACTCAATATGTGCTGATAAGTTTAACAGAGAAACTTTCATCACAGCAGAGCTAAATAAAAAAAGTTGTATTCCATCATTTACAAAGTGATATCTTACAAAGATATTTACCCCAGATGACCCCAGGTCCTGATGCAGCTCAGCTCTTAGACCTTCTACAATACTGTATGCTTCCATTATTGCCTTATTTCTCCACTGAACAGCTCATATCCTCACTTGTAGAAAAAAATAAAAGTTGCTCTGGGCTCAGGTCTGACATAAACCCCTTAGCTGAACAACATCAGGGATTTAAAAACAAACTTCAAAAACCCAGTGGCCATTCTTTTTTGGTGACAATTGCCAGGCAACTGGCTTGCTTGGCTTGGATTTTTTCTCCTTCACTCCAATAATGCAGTAATGCCTCTAGACCAAAGAAACTAATCACTGAAGTATTAAATAATCAAGAGGAATTATGGTTAAGTAAGTACCTGGCTACATATGGCACAAATGAATTCCAACAGCTTTACCAAGTGCAAAAGCACTGAATGGTTTTGTAATGCCCAGTAATTTTTGTGGTAAAGGAAGTCAATTTATGTTCTGCTTTGGCAGAGGATGGGCAGATTGAAGCTCTACTGCTTTGTGTTGACTTTAGAGGTGCTCCATCTACTTGTCCTGCCACAAACTCATTCTCTGTGGACAGATCAAGGTGTCAATATTCAGTCATTTAAGAGACAGTCCTGTTTGTTCACTGCATGGTGCGTTCATTGATGGAAAACATGTTGGATGCTTTTGCTCACAGTTGAATTTGAGATTAAACAGGCTCAATCTACATACAGAAGTAAGTTTTGTTTCTTACTGCCCTGGAAATGCCAACTGGGCTTAGAGCTGAGCTGGGTTTTCTCTCATTATCAACTGCAACATGAATTCTCCATCTCTCCTGAACTCAAGGCAAACCTACAGTTACATTTCTGCTCCTTTGCTGTTCCAGAGAAGGTTGACTGATGGTTCTGGCTGATGGGGGAACTTCCCCTGGCTCTGTGTCAGCAGAGCTGCTGCTCCTGACCCTCAGCTGCAGCCTCCCTGCACAAGCAGTGCTTGGCTGCTGTAAAACAGTGATTTTCTGCAGAAAGGGACTCAGGCAGGTTAAAAACCAATGTCCTGCACTGTACCCTGGAGTTTAATATGCTGCCCACAAGTCCTGCCTGGGCCCATCTGCCCAACACCCAGCCCAGCACAGACTCCTCCTGGGCACTGCACGATGAGAGCAATCCAGCTCAGTGTAATTTGGTCCCTGAACCCCTTCCAAGCAGTGCAGAAAGCTTGCTCCATATGAGCCAAACTTCCTGGGGTGGGGAAACACCCGAGTGCCACCACGATGTCCCACAGCCTGCACAAGGTGGTGGCAGAGCAGAGCCAGCCCAGAGAACAGCACAGAGTGCTGCTGGCTCCGTGCCACTCAGCTCAGAGCCCATAAGCTGATCCATTTCCATGGTACCCTCCAAAAAAGATAAGAGTTACAGTGCAAGTAGTACAGTGACCTACATAAACACAGCTCTTTTGTAAACAGGAGCCAAGAATGGCAGGTACAAGCAGATAACAGGGAAACAGTGTCAGATTTTAATCATCTTTGGTTTTAAGCAAATTATTACAACACTCCCACACCTTTGCCCCATCTCCAATTCTTCCCTCCTCACACAGAGCAGCTCAGTTGTGTCTCAAGAAAAATCTCCTCTGCAGAACACGCCCCATAGGATCACATTACATTTGTCCTTGATGTTCAAATGGAGCAGCAGGATTTTCAGAGCAAGACAGCCTCAGTTTCTCAGGAGGCTGAGAAATTTCCAAAATGTGTTTTTAAAGAGTCAAGTAAAAACAAGAAATAATCTCATTAAATGCAGCCCAAAACTGGAATGAGATGGAGAATCAGCTCTTCTTTGGTAAATCAGGGGAAGCTACAGCACATGCCTCTGCCTGGCATCTATTTGGAGGAACCTTTTTATGATGCTAAAGGAGGCAGAGGACACCTGGAGAGCAGGACCAGCCTTTCAGAGAGGCAAGCACAGTGGGGACATCTCAACTCCCAACCTCACACCTCAGGGCGAGTCCAGACCCTTCTGCTCTGACCAACCTGAAAAGAGGCAAAGCCCTTAATGGAAACCCAGGCCGTGCAAACACCAGCTTCAAACGCTACCAAAAGTTTCTTGGAAGATCAGAAGGGGGTGGGAAGGGGTTGGTAATTTGAGCCATTTGGGGTTTGCTGCCAGGAAGAAAGGGACAGCTTTTAACACAGTCTGTGTACAAGAGAGCCCGGGGACCTGCAGAGAGTTACTCACAGCTGTCGAGAGCTTCCCTTCGTTCTTCTGCGCGTGGACGACGGCGTCGCGCACCACGGAGAACAGGCTCAGCAGGACGTGCTCCATGTCGTAGATGCCATGCATGCCCCTGGTCAGCCCCTCCAGAGCCTGGATGTACTCCTTCCAGAGGCTGTGGATCTCCAGGACGCCCGCCAGGCAGCCCTGCAGCACCGCCCCGCAGTAGCCGGCGCAGGGCTTGGCCAGCAGCAGCCCCTGGCAGTGGGAGCAGTACCACATCTTCAGCAGCGCCCGCCCGCACTCCTTGCTGAACTTCAGGTGGTCAGTGGTGTTTATCACCTCGATGCCCAGGTTCAGAGCCTGCAGAAAGACTCGAGTGGCCTGCAGGGACTTGGACACCTGCGTCATCATCGTCTTCGGGTAGCTCCCAAAGGCTTTGAGGTCTCTCCTGGCCGCCCGCAGACATTCGGTCATTTCCACAGAGGGATCGGGCAAGCCAGGGTTGATCAAGTGGGAGTAAACCAAAGGGAACAAACTGTCAAAAAATTCATTTATCATATCATTGACACTGATGTCAGAGCCCAGTATGTACAGCGAGATATCAGTAAAAAGTTCTCCAACAAATTTAAGAGCCCTGGGCCCCATGCTCTGGTAGTAGGTCCTAAACATGCTGTTGGTGAAGTTTCTTGCATGCCGCACTACAATTTCGAAGGCTTCTGTAAAACAGAACAACAACAAAAAAAAAAGTTACTAAGAGATGGTGAGCCCAGAAACAGGGAGGATAATGTTCCATCACATCACTGCTGCCAGGGCTGGCCCCATCCTGCCTGCCTTGGGTCAAGCACCCGCTGGCAGCCGTGCCTGCTGCAAAGCACCAGCATCAGCAATTTCCAGGGGAAATGCATAAATTCTTTAAGCAGAAACTACATTTCAAAATGGAAAAAAAAAACCCCTATGATCTAGTTAACATTTCAGCTTTTAAAGAAAATATTGATTCAAGAAAAGGGCTAGACTGCAATTTCTTTCTCTTCCCCCTTTCATATTGATTTGAAATTAACAGGAATTCTATCTCCAGACTTAATTTAAGGCAGAGATAAATGTTTGACAAACTGTACAGTACTTAAAATTAGGAAACAGTAAATGCTGACATTCCATTATGAAAAAGAAAATATTTATAGGAGTTTAATCACAGACAATATTCTGACTCTACCCCCAGCAGTTACCAGCACCAAGTGTCCCCTAAGCCACTGGAAAAGCCCCCACAGTGCTGCAGTTTTCGCAAATGCACCAGGCTCACTTCAGCTGCAGATCCAATCTTTCATCTGCCCTGGATGGAGCTGCTCTGTTGTCCAAAGGATGCTGAGAGCCAGTGGTGCCATGTCCACCTGTGGCTGCCCAGCCAGGAACACTCTCATGCACATCAGGCTGTCCCACGAAATTCAAGTTTTGGACAGAAACTGTCATTTTGCTAGGAAAAACCACAACGCATTTTCCCATCTCTACCTTCAAAAACTTTAGGACTTTCAGCCCACATCTCCTCCATAAGGTGAGCAGGGAACCCCCACAGTTATTTCTTTAATTATAGCCCTCCTCATCTGGAGACTTCCCAAATATCCATACCCCACTATATATGGACAACATACCTACAAACACACACCAGTTTGCATCTTAAAGCATCAGAAGGGGAGGCCATCAGTGCAAACAAAACTCTTTTTCTTTGGCCAGCTTGCTCTACCAGCCCAAGTCCCACCCTCCAGGGTACTATTCATAAAATGCTAAAATTAGTGAACAGCCTTTCAGTTCACAGGTCACTGACACCCCACAATGTAACTGCTCTCACCTCTGTCACTCTGCAAAAACACATCCTGGCTCAATATGCATGAAAATTATTCATGTTCAATAATTAAAGGGAATGTTTAATTTTTAAAGCCATAAGAGTTATCTCCCCCATTTGTTAAGGCTGGCATGCAGCTGAGCATGGCCTGACACATCTCCACAGGGGTTCAGTATCAACACTGTCACAAGCACTGCTGGCCTTGCTGCTCGCCCTGCATCACCTCTTGCTTACTCAAGAGCTTTCAAGACCATCATATCTGCAGGAATTCCAGCTCTTCCTTCCTGGGTACACCTTATTCAGGGATGCCTGGAAGGACAGGGTGCTGCTGCTGCTGCACCCCACCCCAGCATGCAGAAAGCCGTGGTGTAAGCACTGATCAGAGCAGAAATTACTGACATACTTCTGCAAAGAGTGTCTCTACCCCATCTGGGCATGCTGCTGAAGCATTTTGTCCACAGTTCCAGACACTCACACCAGGACTGTCCCAGCAAGCCAAGATCTGTGTTCCCAGGGGACAGCCATCCTTCCCTCCTCACAGCACAGACTCGGAATGCAGTGGGCAGGGACACAGGGCCCCTCTCCCTGCCATGACAGCCAGCATCCTGCTCCTCAGCTCTGACAGAGGATGGCAAAGCTCTCCAGGCAACACAGCAGCAAGTGTGACAGACTGGGCTCTGCAAGCAGAGCACTTGCACCGTTGCACTATATGAAATGCTGGTTTGTACTATAAAAAGTTTTTTTTAAAAAAAAAAGTCTCTTTAAAGAGGACACATGGATTACAAAACTTTTTCCCCTCACTCTTTATTCTCAAGAACACCAGAATAGCTTTTGCCTCAAAAAGCACAAAGAACATTTTGGACCAGTATTTTTTTCTGACAGCAGTGGAGACGGTGCCAGGATTTTCATGCTGTGCCTCACCATTCCCCTTTACCCTCTTCTCTGTTAGTTCCCTTTAGAAAAAGTCACCACTTTTCCATTTTCTCGCTCCTCTGTGCTTTGCCAGTTATCATCAGAGCCAAAAGACTCTTCACTGATTAGAAAAATATTCCAAGCTCCTATGCAAACCTCCTACGGCGAGAAGGGCTTCAGAAAGGATTGGAGAACAGTGGTGTATCAGAAGAGCATGCACACACAGTCCCACTGCTTTAAAGGTCATGACATGCACATAATTTTTATCGTAATAACTGGCTGAGAGTGTCTATTTTATGCGCCTGGGAGCTTTTGCATATATCCATTAGAAAGCGCAACAGGGACTATAAAAGCATATGGAGACTCCTGCTGCCCTATTAATAGATGCAAGAAATAATAAAAACTTTGTAAAAAAGAAGTCTTACACATCCAAAATCTCTCCCACCCAACTCCCACAGCAGTTGCTTATTCTGAAATATTCCTCGGAAAGCGCTGGCTGCAGGAATTCTAAATCCCCAGCTGCCAGCAGCTGCAGTGACCCTCAGCCAGGCTCTGAGTGCTTCAAAGGGGAGGAAACTCTGAGGGTCAGACCCCTGTGCTCCCACGAGGGACCCTCACAGGGACACGGGGGGGACAGTGCATTATAGATGTGACACAGGCATCTGATCCCCCATAAAATTCCACAGCCTGCATTTGCTGCTGGTAAAATCTGCCCCACTCATAACATGGCATTATTGAAACTCATTGCTGGAGGATAATTCAATCTTTTCTCTCTTCTATTTTTTTTTCCCCAAGGATATTTTCAAAAGCTGCCATTTAAGGCAGCTGTTTTGCAGGTCTGGCTGAAGCAGTGTGAATACAAAGCAAAGCATCAGACTTGCCCCCAAGTTCAGCAGGCAAAAACACTGCACAGCTGAGCAGGCCTCCCATTTTACAATCTCCATCCCTGTGTAGAGTACACACAGAGATGCACACACAGCAGAGTGTAAGACATGTTCCTTTAAAACATATTAGCAACAAAAGAAAGGCTCAGGATAATTTCCATCCTTTAGTGGATGCAGACAGAAACATAGGGACAAAGGATGAGGAAAAGGCAGATGTACTTAACACCTTCTTGCCTCAGTCTCTAGTAAAGCCAGTTTTTCTCCAGATACCCAGCACCAAGAGCTGGAAGAGAGGGATGGGGAGTAGAACAAAGTCCCCATAATCCAGGAGAAAATGCTCAGGACTCTGCTCTATCACTTATATCCACACAAACAGGGCTGATGGGATCCACCCTAGGGTACTGAGAGAGCAGGCAGAAGAACCCACAAGGCCACTGTCCATCATCTACCAGCAGTCCTGGTTACCTGGGGAGATCCCAAGTGACTGGAGGCTGGCAAATGTGACAGGACCTGGGAGGGTGAGATCATCTTGAGTGCCATCACGTGGCACATAAAGACAGCCAGGGCATCAGGCCCAACCCACATAGGGTCATGGTCCTGCTTGACCAATCTCATCTCCCTCTATGATAAGCTGAGCAGCTTGATGGATCAAAGAAAGGCTGGGAATATCGTCTACCTGGATTTTAGGAAAGACTTTAGCACAGTTTCCCACAGTATTTCTCTTGGAGAAACTCTGCTTGTGGCTTAGACACCTGTCCAGGAAAGAGAAACCAAGGGAGCACTTGCAGGATGGGAGCCAGAGCATCATCACCAGCCCAGCACTGGTGCCCTGGTACTGCACATCTGCTGACTGCCCTGTCAAGGGCACTTTATCAGGACTCCCAAAGGATGAATGGAACAGCTCAACTACTCCAGACCACAGATATCAGTCACTAGTTGAAAAGCACAGGCTATTACTTATTTTTCAGGCTGGACTCTTGCTGAAGTACCTGGAGAGGAATTGCTGCCTGATTCCAGCAGCCAGAAGGGAAGGACTAAGCTCCCTTCAAAGTGCAAAAATTCCCCAGAACACAGCCCAGAGAGAGCTGCGTGGCCGCTGCAAACCGGCAATTAGAGAAAATAAATTGTAAAAGAGCATAACAGTGCCCTGAGTGGGGATTACTGGCAGGAGAAGGAAATCGCTGCGTTCTCAGCCCAGATAATAAGAGTCTGCTGCTTAGTAAAAATGCCAGCTTTCCTGAGAAAGCACGTTGGCTCTTAAGCTGCAGCAAACTTCAAAGGTGTCGGCGGCAGGGCCGGAGGAGCTCTGGATTAACCTACTGCTGCCCCAGGCTGCAGGAGCTCCTGCCCAGTCTGCCACTTGATGGGTTTATTTAAGAGATTATGTGATGAAGCTGCCTGAGCCACAAGGAGCTGGTACAGGTGACCCCAGCAAGCCATTCCCATCCAGCATCCCACTGGAGAGGGGAGAGCCAAAATCTGATGGCAGCTGCAGAGCAGGGGCAGCCGCAGCGATGCACCCCCAATTCCAAGCTCAGCAAGTGCTGCTTCACAAGCTGCTGAAGGCGTTTAGAAAGGTGAAACAAGGTCTGTCCTCCTTCTGACTCCTGTGCCAGGTCACCAAACAGCAGCACACCACAGGAGCCACCTCCACACACCACTGTGGTCACTGGGAGGAGGGACAGCAGGATGCACCGTGGCAGCCAGGCACCAGGACGTGCCACAGGCTTCATGCTGCTCTCCAGCAATGTGCTGCTCTGGTTCTGCTGTAAAGACAGGCTTGAACAGGGACATCTGTCCTTCTCTGGGTGTCACACAGCACAGCAATCAGGTTTCATGCTGCCCCAGTTCTGCTGTAAAGACAGGCTTCCAACAGGGACATCTGTCCTTCTCTGGGTGTCACACAGCACAGCAATCAGGTCATCTTTGGCAAAGGCTCAGCAAAGGGCAAGGGGCTGCACAGCAAAACCTGCTGCACCAGCAGCTCATCATCCACGGGCAGCTGAGGTGCAGAACTGGGTGGCCCATACACCCCATAGCATGCGAGTACCAAGGCATTAGAACTGCACCTACAACACTGATTTTC